CCCCTTGTTCGTTCTTCCGTCAGTCTTCCTCCATCCTTACCTACCTGCTTTGCCTCCCCCCACCCACAAAACCCAACTTCTGACAATAAGAGCACCATGTTCTGCATGACACTAAGAGGCTGTCCAGTTAAGCCCAACGCACTTCAAATGGCTTTCCTTCTCCTCCCACCCGCCCAGCTCAGCTCCCAAGCAAATGGTTTGAGAAAGCTTTAGGTCTGTTCTGTAGGTAGGAAGAGAGACAGGGCCAAAAGCCCCAGAGCCAAATTCCGTGTTTTGATAGTCATTGCTTTGTTAGATAGGGGTTGGGGGGGGGGGGGGCGGGTTGTCTGAACATGCAGATTATTCTGACTCCTTCTGCTGGGGGAGCTCAGTCCTGGGGCTGCTTTCTGACGCACACCCCTTCTTTTTCACCTCTCCTCAGTGAAGAGAGTATTGAGCCGTTCCGGCTGTGAGCAGGGCCGGCAGCGTTTGAGGAAACAAGACTGCCAGCTGAGAAGACGCTGCGCAATGCTTCCAAAGCTTCCTGCTCCGGAATAAAGTCCAACCTTGTCCGCCAATCCTCTCTGGAAACTCCTTTGGGGGCCCTAAACCTGGCTCCCCATCTAGTTTGGGAATAGGACCAGCTACGCGGGAATTCCCCCCGATCCAACTGGGTATCCACTGGGAACCAGTATTTCCCTCCAAGGGCTACAGTGAGCAAGACCCTGTTTCAAGACTTTCTTTGGCCCAGAGAGTTTTGGGGGAGACCCCTTAAATTGGCATCATGCTCCAATGAAGGAGCTTCACCTGGAGGGTCAACAAACCTCCCCTGCGAGCCGCCCTTGGGAGGCCACGAACGGCTTTTCACTGCACCAGCTAGACCGCTGCACTGCCGTCCCACATGGGGCTGCCCTTGAAGAGGATTCGGACGTGTCCGTGGGTGCAGAATCCCACTGCTTTTTTCTTTTTCTTTTTTTTTTTTGCTGGTGCGGCCTCATTTCCTTGCATTACTGTAATTGTGGGAACACAGCATTCCTTCATGGGGGGTTTGTTTGCATGCCCAAAGCAGGGTGCTGGGACTTGCTAAAACGGGAGCTAAGCACCCGGGCAAATTCTCGGCATGCCAGCCAGACTGTGCCGAGGATCTCTGCAGAGACCTGATGCTGAGGCCCTGCTCCTCTGAAGCGCTCCTCCGCGGGGCTGCTCCACCTTGGCAGAGTGCCCCCCAGAGCGGAATCCCCGGTACCCTAGATGAAAAATCTTAAAGAGTTTAAATGCATAAAGGTAAAGGTTTCCCCATGACATCAAAGTCCAGTCATGCCTGACTCTAGGGGGCGTTGCTCATCTCCGTTTCCTGGGCAAGGAAGCCAGCATTTGTCCGCAGACCGTCTCCGTGACTGAACACTGAAGTGCACGGAACGCTGTTACCTGCCCACCGAAGGGGTACCTTTTCATCTACCTGCATTTGCATGCTTTCGAACTGCAAGGTTGGCAGGAGCTGGGACGGAGCAATGGGAACTCACCCCGTTGTACAGATTCGAACCAGTGACCTTTTGATCAACCAGCCCAGCAGCTCAGCAGTTTAAACCACTGCGCCACCTGCATCCTTTTTTTAGTCTTGGTCATAATTTTGCGCGTTCCCCTGAAGTGAGAGCTGCTGAAGGTGGTATAGGAACGTTCTCTATCAGCTTTCCCAGTGCTGGGAGCCAGGTTTCCCCGGCTGATCTCTTCCGTCGGTCCTTTGGCTGGCTCCCCAGCCCAGGTGGCCTTCTGGGTGGGAGCATCTGTGAGCAGCCATTTTACGGATGGGCAAAGCCTGCCCCTGGACAGCCATTTTGTGAGAGCACCCACAAGAGCCCTTAAAAATCCCCAATCCAAAAGGTCAGTTCAGAGTGGTGCAACAGAGGTTGGAAATGGCTGCGGGACGAACGCTTCAGTCCTTTCCGGCCAGCCTTTCCACAGTGCCCTTCGCATGGAGCGACCTCTGAAGAGTTCTCAGAAACTTCTGCTTGTTCGACGTGTGGCTGGGAGAGAGGCCGCAGGCGCTCCCTCGGGCAGCATTGGTCTTGTGTGCTCTCGCCGTGATGTTTCCTGGCAGAGTTCAACCCATCAGTGATCCCCTTTACAATGCTGAATCCAAGGCCTAAATCCACAACGCCTCGGAGACTGTCTCTTCCCAAATTGTTCTGCTCGTATCTTAAGGCTTTCTCTTCTGCCTGCTGCGGAAGCCCAGCTGGGCAGGATCGATGGCCGAGTCGGAATACTTTGCCTGTGAGATGCCCCTGGTATTGAACTTCGTCGTCATCACGGCTCCAGCAAGAGAAGGCTTTGACCGCCGGCCCCTCTCTCTTATTGCAAATCTGTCTGGTGCCTTGGGAAGTGCATGTTCACCAGGAGGCCGAGGTGTGCAAGCCAGTGTGGCTAATGCGCTGGGCAAGGGCTTAGGCGGTCCCAGTTCTAGTCCCCACGTGGCAAAAATCCGCGCATCCCAGCATGGAGAGCCAGTGCATTGCAGGAGTTAACACGGTGGAGAGATGTGGGTTCTAGTCTCGGGCACGAGGCCGAGTGCGTGGTCACCTTGCGCCAGTCACAGCCTCTCAGCCTGACTGACTCTCAAGATGCAGCTGGGCAGACCTTGGAGAGGGTTTGGCTGGGAGTCCTGCCCCGAGCAGGGGCTGGACCCGGTGGCCCTCTGGCCCCTTCCAATCCTGCAGCTGCATGAATCCTGCATGATTCTAGCCACAGGATTGTTGCGAGGATAAAAATGGAGATGAGGCAGGTTATGTAAGCAGTCTTCGACTTCCTCAAGAGGCGAAAAGGCAGTGCATGTGTGCGTGTAATAATAAAATATATAACCACGCATTTAAAAATTAAAAGCAAGTTTCTAGTCTTCACGCTGGCCTGCAACCACGCGAGTTAACGCCTGCTGAAGCTCCACGGGAAAAGCTGTTGTAGCAAAATCGAAGCACTGAACCCAGGGACCTTAAAGACAAACACGCTCATGATGGCAGACACCACTGGATTTTAGGGTGGCCAGCCCTGAGCAAAGGAACTGCAGAGCAAGGCTGCCGCGTGACATGGATGGACGGCGCCTTGCTCACTTCCAACATGGCTGGCCTGAGTCAGGATAATGGGTTCTTATCACGCTGCAGCCGTCTTCATTTGGCAAGACCCAAGCGACCCTGCAAGCTCAAACCGTAGCCTCAGGTCTGCCTCTCCACCTCTCCTTTCCCCTGCACGGCAGGGAAAAAGAGCGAACACTCGATTCTGTTTTCCCTTCCCAGATTGCTGGCTTCTTGCTTCGTTCAAGACTCGTGCTCTAAAGCCAACTCTAGTTGCTTGAACAAGCAGCAAATGTTAGCTTGTTTCACAACTTGTTTTAGACAACTTTTTGTATATAATCACAAGCCACCATTCAGGGAAAACAAAGGTGAATACTTTCCAGAGAGGACTGGAAAATGGGGGGGGGGGGGCGGCACGAATGATGTGAATGATTGAATGTGTGAATGATCCTGCACAGATGCCCGGGGATGCGAGTGCTATTATCAACACCGCTTTGAGAATGGCCATCATTACCGGAAATGCAAGCCTCTGTTCACTGAATGCCGTTGCCTGTTTGTAGCTTTCCTGCCTTTTCAGGTGCTTCCTCTACCTTTTTTCTTGCTGCCAAGAAACTGTGTGAAGGAAGAAAAGACAGAACTGCTGTGCAAGGCCATCAGATTGCCAGCTCTGGGAGATCTCTGTCCGGAGACACTGGCCGTATGTTTTGCAATTCTTCCTGACAAGGCTGCTTACGATTCCAGCCTCTCACAAGTGTGGGTTGCATCCACACGAAATCTTATGGATAGGAAAGGCAGGGAAAGCAACACGGCTGAGCTTAAGAGTCCCGAGTGCCTGAGCAACCACTGATTTCTGTGGGTTTGCTCTACGTCTGATTAAGTTGGGATCCAGCCCCGTTTGTATATATAATTGCAGCTTTGGGTAACACTTCCAAAGCTGCCACGAATTCTTGGTTATTTTTGCTGGAATTGGCAAAATGGGAGCTTGTGCCTGGGACTGTGGTAAAAATTCCATGCACTGTCGCTTCGCATGCACTCTTGCTCACTTTCAGTTTGTGAACATTTCTGCCCTCCAGTGCAGTGATCTTTCCGTAAGATCCACAGATAAATGCAAAAGCAGTCAAAATCCCCAAAGGAATGAGGCAGTCTGGAATTGGATGACTACACCCAAGTAACCCTGTTTTAATTCTGATCTAGTTGCTGCATGGATCTCTTGCAGGCAAAACAGTGGTTGAGAATATTCTGCAAAGTTATTAGAAACACAGGGAAAATCCATAGTTTGATGCAAGAACAATAAAACAGTGTTTATTAAGTTTAACATTCTCAACGTATGATTTGGAAAACCATAATAAACCTTACCTATTGCAAACAACAAGAGGTCAGACAAAAACAAATAGATAAGAAAATGCTTTCTTTCTGATGTATAAAATATGGACAATGTACACTTATTTTCAAAGAACAGAAAATTGTCTTGTGTGTTCAAAACAGGCTCTAACAAAAACGAGGTAGCACTAATTTTTTCCTTTCAAAAACTGTTCTCTGAAGGTCAGTAGCTCCACCCAAAGCCACAGGTATACCTGGCATGATTTTCAGGCAATTATGAACTTAAAAAGCACACAGATTCCGTGTTTGAACACAAATGCAGAAATAGTCTTGTTTCCCCCTTCAAACAGAAAAGGCCACATTTTGGGGGGCAGCCCTCCTGTCTCTGCACAAACAAAACCAAAATTTTGCCCCATCCATCATCTCCTTAGCATAAAAAGGAAATCATACCAAAGAAACGTCTAGTTTCGGTCTAGAATGAAGAAACGGGAAGACAAAGCCACGCCGTCGGTCGCCTTCTTCGAAGTCCCTTCCCAGTGTTGCTTGGCCGCTCGTCTCACCTCTCCCGCCCCACGCCATCCCACCTCGGTTCCGTCCCTTCGCCAACAACACTGGGATCCGGACGCTCCCGCGGGCCCCTCATCTCTTGACCCGGCGCCCGGCGGAGTTGCGCCCGCACTTGCGGTAGAGCGACTGCCTCCCCCGGTTGAGCGGGCAGTACTTCAGCGTGTGCGCCGTGTCCATCGTGGCGCCGCAAAGGGGGCAGACATAGTTCCGCAGGATGGGACAGAGGACCACCCCGTCGGCGCCCTTCAGCACGTGGGACGCGTAGACGTTCCTGGACTCGCCGTTGTGCTTGCAGAAGTTGCAGGTCCCGCCACCCACCTGGGCAGCGGTCTGGGACGGGCTGCCACTGTTCGCGCCCCCCTCGGAGCTGCCGCCACCGCTGGTCCCGCCGCCGTCGGCCCAGGGGGCGCCCAGGGGGTTCTGGCACATGATGCCGTGGGCGTCCCAGGCTGGAGAGAGGGCTCGCTCCTTCTTCTCCTGGATGATCTCCTGGATGACCCCCGAGAGGTTGAGGTAGTCCTTCCACCTGTCGAAGTAGTGGCCCACGGCTGAGGTGGGGCGATGAGGCGGCTCAGGTGTGCACCGGCCGGAGAACATGCTGGCAAGTGTGACCCCCTGTGCTGGGATGCACCTCTTTTAATCAATGTGCATGCTGTTTGGACAATGTTAATATGTTAACATCTGTAGCTGTGTTAATAGAGGGGAGGTGGAGTCTGCACTTAAAGGGCCAGGGGATCTAAATCTTCGTCCCTCGGCTGGCCCACCATCTCTCCCCTCCATGCCCTGAATTTCACCTGCATGCTGCTAGAAACAGGCGATGTCCTGCAAGGCAGCCAAGCGCAAGAGACGGCCATCCCTCCACTGATGCAGCCACAGTTGGGCCAAAACGCCCCGGCGGGCTTGGCTGCCCCTCTGAGCAGCCGCATTTCCAGCGTGGATGCGGCACCAGCTCCCGCCACCTGCTGCTGGGGACCGAAAGGATGGGCTAGATGAGGGCAAGGAAGGTCTCCGGAGAGCCCGCCGGGGGAGCGACCCGCAGCCAAGTTGCTGCCCCTGAGCAGGGCCCTCCGCTGTTCAACGCCCTCGACTCACGTGATGGGGACACGTGGGGGAAGCCCTCCAAGGAGGACCCCAGGCTCTGGCTGGGAGCGTGTGGAAGGGGGCAATTTGGCTCCAAGCGACGGACGGACTGGGAAATGGACCAGAACGCAGTGCAGATGAAAAGCGTCCTGGTGCCACGCGCCCCAAACATCCCTCCCCAGTTCAAATCCTGGCAGCTTTACTATGCCCCGAGCAGGTCTTTCTGAAAGATGTGCAAGGTGCAAGGCACCAGAGGGATTCGGGTCCTCCCTGAGGCTCTGCTGCCTCCATCCAGCGAAGGCTGCGGCTGGCCTGTCCCCCTGAGCAAGCGAGACGTTTCTCCAAGATGCTGAGCCCAGGGGAGCCGAGTATTCTGAACCATGAACCAGGTCCTCTGTGGGGCGTCCTCTGGTAAAGGGGCAACATCGCGTACTAGAGCAGGTGGATCGGCCGCCAGGAGCATCTCCCTCTTTCCTTGACCACAGCTCCGCTTGCTGGCGCTCCTCCAATCCGTCGCTGGGATCCGGAAGCGGGTCCTTGGAGGAGAGGGAGCAGAGCTGGCTGGCGTATGAGTACTTGCACGTCGGTCTAAGACTCCAGATGATCTCATGCAGCAGTTCCATGATTTAAACAACACGCAGAATAAAATGGACTCTTGCAGGCCCCAAAGGACAAATTCCGTCTTCTGGAATTGGGCACCCAGGTTGGAATGAGCCCACCGGGAAGTGGTGCTGAAAGCACACAAGAACCACCTGCTGTTCTCTCCAGAAGGAAGGCAGCCCCGGCCCGTGGGATCCAAGCTGGATGGGAAGATCCAGGGAGCTACAGACAGTCTGTCCGACATTGATAACTAGGACGACTGTTGGAAAGGTTTTCTCTACAGGCTCTTGGCACGAATGCAGCGATCAGCAGAAACGAGTCCCGAACACGTCCTGCAAGACGAATCTCATTTCACTTTTGATGGGGTCGCTTCCTCCGTAGAAGGTGGAAATGCTGTGGACATACTATATCATGAGTTCAGCGAGGCATCTGATAAAGTATCCCATGATACCCTGATGAGGAAACTCTTCAGTTGGGTCAGCTGGTGCTAAGACTAGGTGGCCCTCCAGGTGGCGGAAGAACCTCCTCAAAGCCCTCCTCAAACTGGATGGTGGGACTGGGTGGGTACCAGGGGGAAGGGTCTGGGCCCTGCACTCTTCTGGATTTTTATTCATGGCCTGGAGGAAGGGTAGGGGGAACATTTCTCATATTTCCAGATGACACTACATTGGATGGGTGAGCTACTGCATTAGAAGTCTGAAGCAACTTGCTAAGAGAAAAGACTGGTAGGAAGTAGCAGAATGCACGTTTTAAAAGGCAAATGCCACGTTCTTCTGTGAGGAAAAGGAAATCAGATGTGCTGATCTAATACGGGGGACCCCTGGCTGGACGATAACGTCTGTGAAAAGAATCTTGGAACAATCATCATTCGCAAGCAAATTATGCAGTCCGAGCGTGTCGGAGCAAGTCTGCAGCAGAAGGGAGGCAGGTGCAATTTCAGGCTGCATCAACAGACGCAGAGTCTCAGGATGGTGGGAAGAAATCGTTCCACTGCACTGGTCAGATCGTACCTCGAATGCCACGTACCATTTGGGATGCCAGCCTTTAAGGAAGGGCACACAAGCTGCACAAGTTCATAGGAAGGCAGCAGAGATAAGCAGCTGAGAGCAACCAATAAGGAAAGACGGAGGCAACAGGTCCATCAAGGTTAGGAAAACGAGGCGTCCTGGCAGGGTTTTGATGGTTGGAATGTGTTCAGAATGGGCAGAAATGGTGAGCTGTGCAGAAAAAGCTACTCAAGGAAGGCTTTTCCAAAATCATCCCCTTTCAATTAAACTTTAGCCCTATATTAGGGTTAGGGGTGTGCACCAGGGTAGGGTTAGGGTTAGAAAAATGAGGCGTCCTGGCACGATTTTGATGGTTGGAATGTGATCAGAATGGGCAGAAATTGTGAGCTGTGCAAAAAAAGCTACTCAAGGAAGGCATTTTCAAAATCGCCCTCTTTTCAATGGAACTCTACCCCTATATTAGGGTTAGGGGTGTGCACCAGGGTAGGGTTCAGCCAGTGGTGGCAAACCTAGGGCACGCGTGCCACAGTGGGCACACAGAGCCCTCTCTGTCGGCACGTGAGCCACATCGCCCCAGCAGCCGAGCATCGGATAACAGCGCACATAGGGGCCATGCGCATGCTCTGAATGGAGTCATGGCGCCAGGCGATGATGTCATGAGCCACGACTCATTAGCCACGACTCGTCCGAGCTTTCGCATGGCCAGTCAGTGCGCTGCCAAGGCTATATGTATATTTGCCTGGACTGGCTGCGAGGTGCTTTTTCTAAACTGAAACCTCAGTTTTCAGGTTTTATTGCAGTGTTGGCACTTTGCAATAAATAAGTTGGTTTCGGGTTGCAGTTTGGGCACTCGGTCTCTGAAAGGTTCACCATCACTGGTTTAGCCTGTTGCAGATGTGGCTCTGGGGAGATGCAAAACCCCTTTTCAAGCCCCGAGGGGCTTGTCCCACACCTTCACCCCCCAGATGGGGCTTAACAGGAAGCGCTGAGCAGGGATGGTCCTTGCTTGGGCTTTGGGCAGTGTTCTGTCCTAGCTTTGCTCAGAGATGCCAGAGATCTAACTCTGGGGCTTGCAGCAGCCCCCAGGGGCTCTGGCCCACAGGCACCGGAATGAAAGAAGAGCCCTGCCGGAGCATGCCAACGGCCCGTCTGGCCCAGGCTCCAGCTTTCCATACTGGCCCAGCCAGTTCCTGCTGGGAAGTTCACAAATAGGAGGTGTATTGCTATTTCGGTGGCTGTCTTGCCCTTCCACCAGAACTAGCATTCAAGGCATTGTAAGGGCAGCAGTGTTGCCATCCCACAAGCCTTGAAGAGGAAGAGGAAGAGGAAGAGGAAGAGGAGGAGGAGAACATGGTAGAGGCTGCAGGGAAGGGGAGCGGGGGCCCTGCCCTAGGAGGAACCTTGGCAGATGCCCAGTGATGCTTACGTTGTCTCCATCAAAGGGTAAACATGGAATCCCATGGCTGAATTCTCCCTCTAAAATCTCTGTACTGCAGCTATTTTGATTTATACTGGCGAAGGGCCATTTTGGTGTATTGGTCTATTTCGCAACGAGCAAAAGGGACCAGTGGGGAACAAGCCTTCCAGAGACCGACAATACTTGGTGTGAGGAACAGAGCACTGAACCACACAGTTCCCACCACCACCTCCGTGATTCCACCAACAGGCCTTCAATATGACTTAGAAGGGTTTCCGCAAGCTCTTCTGCCTGAGGTTTTTCTCACGTGCTCATCCTTCCCTGCTCACATTATTTTATGGGCTTTTTCGCATGCCTTGTCCCCCACCCAGTTTCATTCCTGTCTGACTAGTTGTTTTGGTGAGCTTTTTGGATTAGGAAGTAGAAGCATTTGATTGCAAAAGCAGAACAGGGCAATTGTCTCATGCATTCGTGCCTTTCCGCTGCACCACAGCGCCACCTAGAGGTGATGCCATGGAAAAGCTGACACCGAACGGCTCCTTGGCGGACTGAGCACCACCTGAAGAAGAGACTGGATGGCACTCAATCGGGCAGCTTCCAAGGCTTCTAGGAGAGACAAGATAATCCTCAATTGTCCTGTTGGATGGGGATGATGGGAACTGTAGTGTGGGACACCTAACAGGTGCCAGGTTGGGGAAGGTGCCCCAGCTGATTTAAAAAGAGGAAGAAAAAGGCTCATTGGCGCCTCTTCCTTCTTTGGCTGTGCCGGCTCGAAACGACGGGCACCCGGGCTGAGCACATCCGGACCGCTAGCACCGTCGGCAGAAGTATTCCTCACAAAAGCAAGGGGAAACGGCGGGTCGCACGTGCAGTGTTATAACAATATTAGCAACTGTTTCACAGCTTAACTGAGGCACAGAGCAATTTCAAGGCTGTTCGTGGATTCAGGAGGAATCTCCACGACGCGGCAGCATATTCCCAGGAACGTGTGCTCGGTCCACACCCTGCAGCGCATACCTGCCCCTCGTCCTGCAGATGGACGTCTGCTGGGCTGGCTCCAGAGTAGACTTTTAGGACAGAAGTACACAGAAGGTAAGTTCTCCAGCTGTTCTGGACTTCAGTCCCCAGAAGTCCTCGCCTCACGGCCAATGGTGGGAATGCTGGGAGTAAAGTCCCACACATCTGGAGTTCTGCTACGGCCCCTTCCTGGTCTGTAGGATTGTCCTGAAAAGAGCTTTAGCGTACAGTCTCATGCAAATTTAGCCAATATTACCTTGGTCTGCCCTGAGCACGGCAGCCGCTGAATAATTTCATTAGAAATTCGTTGACAGTCTCTAAGGACAGAACCCGACACATGCTGCGTCTGATAAAGGTCCTGCAGCTCCCGTTGTAGGGCGTTTAGAAAGTGAAGTAGTTGGCTTTAATAGGTCTTAGCACGAGTGAACCCGGGAAAGTGAATTCCGTGTCTGCTCCTCCATTCCCACGCTCCGTAGCTGCCCCACGCGGGCTACGAGCTCGCTTGGATCAAGACGCTACAGGGGAGTCGGAGCTACGCGCCGAGCAGCCACTAGGGGGCAATAGAGCGCCGCATCTTCTTTAACGCCCAGCTCCCTCCGCCCACTACGTAGGCGTTTCCTTGAGCCATGGTGATTGACAGCCTCAGGAGCCAGTAGCCCGACGTCAACAGGGTGAGGGCGGATTTGTATGATCGCCGAGGGCGCCTCGGCCAACGAGGAACGGCAGTGGCGCTTCTCGCCTGGGATTGGCCGGCCCTTGCAGAAAGCAGGAAAAAGGCGGGGCTCCGTCGTGGAGGTGGTGCTATCGCCCCGAGTGACAGTCCCGGTCGCGCCCGATGGATCCACGCAGGGTAACTGGCGCTCCGCTGAGCCAATGGAGGCGGAGGAGCGGTTGAGCGGCCGACCAATGGGAAGGAGAAGCCGTTCGCCGCAGGCGGCAGTTGAGGCGCGGCGGCGAGCAGGTAAGCGGCGCTCGGGGCTGCTCGGCCCGGCGAATCCCCGGCCCGCCGCAAGGGGGGGGCCCCTCGGGGCGAGCGCCCCCCGCCACCAAGGCCAGGCCCGCTCGCTTGGTCGTCTGGTTCGCAGGGCGCCTTTGTTCTTACAAAGCGCTCTCCTCTTGGCCCCGCACAACAGCCCTGCGAGGTGGGCCGGGCGGCGAGTGGCTGGCCCCGAGGCAGCCGGTCGGCTTCACGGGGAGCGGGACTGGGACCCAGGCTGCCCGAGCCCCAGAGCCGCACTCAGCGCTGGCCTGTCCCTCTCACTCACTGGAGGCTGCCCCCCCCCCCCGCCCGCCCCAGCGGCCCCCCCCCCAGTTATTTGCCCCCCCTCTTCCTCCCCTGCAGCCCCTCCGGGGCTCCCCGCCCCCCTCGCCAGCTAAGCGGGGAGGGGTCTAGAAGCTGCGGTGGAGAAGGTTGCGCTGCGGCTCGTGCATTGACGGGGGCCACCAGAGGCCAGCGTGTCGCACCACCCGCTGCGGGCAGAGGACCCCGTCCAGCTGCTTGTGCGGGACGCCATTGCTGGGCTTGGGGCGCGGGGCAGCGGCCGCCTTGCCTTCTCCCATGGGCCGGGCCGGGCAGGGGTGTCATCTTCCATTTGTGAGCTTCCCTGCCCCCCCCCCCAGCACCTGACTGTGAATGGAAGCTTGGCCTTCGGCGGTCCCGAGCTCCCCTGGGATTGCGAGCGGGCCCAGGGCCCCGGCGTCTGCGATGGCCAAGCTGCAGGGGCTGCAGGCCGACTGCGTGTTCCGGGGCGTCGAGCACGTTGTCCGGCTGACCGTGGAAGGAAACCTCCTGGAAGTCGAGGTGGAGGACCGGCTCACTACGGACCAGTGGCGTGGCGAGTTTGACGCTGCGTGTGAGTAAGGGAGGGACGGACGAGGCTGGGACTGGGGGAGGAGGATAGCGCAGGGGGCCCCGTGCAGATGAGGGGGGGCAGCCGGCGGCAGGGCCAGACCTGTTGCAGCCCTTTGCCAGGATCACGCGGCAGCGGACTGAAGCACGGAGCGGAGCTGTGCCTGGCAAAGGTTGACCCGTTCTGAGTGGCCTGAAGGGCGGATCCTAAACGCCTGGTGCCAGGACTCTCCTCCTCCAAGGGGGTGGCCGTCCTGTCAGGTTTTCTGCTGCATCTTTGAGATGCAGCATGCGCGTCGTCAGGTGGAAGCTCTCTGGGAGGCCAGCCTGGGAGCTGGAAAGGTGCGGCAGAAGCACGGTGCCATCCCCGATGGTGTGCGCCCCATGGGGCCGGAGCTCAGCCCGAGCCCCACTGCTGGCTCCCCTCCCTCGCCCCCTCCGAGCCCAGATCCAGCAGGGGCAGGCGGGGTTTCGTCTGACTCTTACCTTGTGCTCAGCGAGCACAGGGATAACGCAGCGTGGAACAAGTCTGCTGTTGCTGACCTCAAGGGTCCTTTCGCAGGCACCATGGTCCTAGGACGTCCCTGGTGCGAGGGAAAAAGGAGGCCGGGATTATCACCCGGGCAAGCAAAATAACAAGTTCAGGCTGCTGTGAGAGGGCAGGATGAACACCATTTGGGTGCTGCAGAATAGCCAGAAGGGGGAGATGCCTTGACTTTGGCAATGGGCTGAGACCAGGAGCTTCAGAACTTCAGATCTATAGCAGCCCGTAGCTTCGCCTGGTGCATCCAGCCGGGATCTCAGGATCTTGGAAGAGGTGGTCCAGTGGGCCTGGATGGAGGGAAGGGTGCCTTGTGCGTTGAACTGAGATTCCGTCATTGCCATTGTGGTAGGAATGGAGGATCACATTTTGGGGGAAAGGTGCTGTGTCTGAGCCACATCCTGGCTGTCCTTGCAGGAAGCTGCATCTTTTTTGTTTTCTGCTTCCTTGTAGTCATCGAAGATCTCACGCACAAGACGGGGAATTTCAAGCAGTTTGGGATCTTCTGCAGCATGCTGGAGTCTGCCCTGGCCCAGGTGACTCTGGGTTGGTTGGGTTGTGGGCCAGTGCTTCCCATCGGCCTTCACCTCCCGTTCGTTCGTTCGTGTTCGTTCTCTCTCTCTCTCTCTCTCTCTCTCTCTCTCTCTCTCTCTCTCTCTCTCGGGCATCGTGCTGGGCTGGGGCATGTGCTGCGGAGGAGCGCCGCCTGTGCAAGCAGCCTCTGATGCGGCCCTCTGGGTGCTTTCGCACAGAGCAGCGAGTCGGTCACGCTGGACCTCCTCACCTATGCCGACCTGGAGTCGCTGAGGAGCAGGAAGATGGGTGTGGGCTTCCGGCACCTGTCTGCCCCCAAGAGCTCCCCGCTGAATGCCAAGCGCTACCTCATCCTGATCTATTCGGTGGAGTTTGACAGGTGCGTGTGGCGGGGGGCGCCTGGACTTGGGGCTGGGCCCAGAGTGGCCTGTCAGCCAGATGCCGCCTCCGGCCCAGCTAGGGGCCCCAGGGGTGCTGGGGAGGATCAGTCAGTGCGCATCACTTTGCGGGGAGACGGAACCGACAGTGCCTCGGCCCCTGTGGCCACCTGCAGCTGCTGTGAGGGCTTGCATCCAGCTTGCCTGCAAAGCCCGGCTGTCTCGAGGGGGGGCCCACCTGGCTGTACTGGGCGGGGGTAGGAGGCGGCATCCAGTGAGGCTGATCTCCCCCCAGCCCCTGAGAGAGGATGCAGAAGGCCGGGGCGGTTTGTCTCCCCTGCTTTCCACGTCGGAAGCAGCCAACGGGGAAATGAGGAGCCTCCTAGCCCAGGGCTGGCCACGGCGGCCTGCCCTGACCCGGCACCTTTCGGAGGGGCCAGACTGCAACTCCTATCATCCCCGGCCAGGTGGGGGAGGCAGGGGCTGGAGAGGAGAGGAAAAACGTCGGAAGACGCACTCGGGACGGAAGGTGCTTCTAAGGGTGACTGTCTCTTCTCCGGCGTCACTTTGTGGTTGCGATTGGGTGGCCCCGTCCAGGCGAGGCGGCTGGGACCGCCGAGGCTGCCGGCCGGTCTCCCCTGGGGAGGGGCTTCCCAAGACAGAGCGTGGTGGCCGGCTGGCCGCCAGCCCGTTAAGCCCCGCTCACGACATCCGCGCTCGGCCCTGGCGGTGGCGGCTCGTGACCGGCTGCATTCCCCGGCAGGATCCACTACCCGCTCCCGCTGCCCTACGTGGGGAAGCCCGATCCCATCGTCCTGCAGAAGGTGATCCGGGAGCTGAAGGAGGAGCTGGCGACCTTGAAGGGCAAACCTGGCAGGGTCTCCCAGGACATGGAGATCCGCCAGCTCCGGGAGGAGTGAGTGGAGGCCGGGGCTGCCGCTGCCCCGGGTGGGTGCAGGCAGTTCCTTGGGAAGCTGCCTCTTCCAGGCATTCGGGAAGCGGGAGGTTTGGGGTGGCAGCTGAGCATCCTAAACGTTTGGGGCCGAGAGGCCAGGCTGATGGGCTTTCTCCTGCATTCCAGAGAGAGCGGAACACTCCTGGGGGTTGTGAAGGGAGAGAGCAGTGGGGTCTAATGGGCGAATCCCAGAGCCATGCAAGACAGACTCCCCCAAGCAGCTGCTGCCCAGATAGCTTGGCCCTCAGCTCCCATTCTCCCCAGCCAGGGTCGCTGATGATCAGGAATGCTGGGGATTGCTTTTCAAAACATCGGGAGGGTCACGGAACATTGGTGTGACTCTTCTGAGAAGAGTTTTGAGCCGGAGCAACAAGAATTTAAGTTTGATTTTCTTCTTCAAAATGTTGAAGCACTTTATCTCTGCTGAATTTTTTTGGGAAAAAAAATCTCATTTATCCTTGCATTTCCCAGTTGCTTTCCTATAACGTGCAAGGCAACTTACAAGGAGAGGCAACATTAAATAATCCAATTAAAATCTATATAGCTTAGTCTTAAAATACCGAATAGGAGGGTGATTATTAAGCAAAGTGGGCAGGAATGGCAGCTTCTGGGTTTGCAGACCCTGGTTTGAGATCCTTCTAAGAGGAAGCCCCACTTCCTGGTGTGAAGCCGCACGAGGTGGAGGCTGTCGCTTGCCTTCCTGCCAGGATTCCCACATGCCACCTAAACGAGCCGAACTGCCTGGCTCTTAACAAGCGTCCTTGCAAGACCTCCCTTGCTCTCGGCCGCGGAGGAGCTCGCCCGGACCTCAGCTGCGAGGGGACCTGGTGCGGGAGCCTTGCGCACTGCCCTTGCTGATGCGCCGCCTCTGCCTCGCAGGCTGCAGCGTGCCTTGGAGGAGAAGCAGGAGGCCCGCCTGGCCCTGCGGGGCCTGGAGGAGGAGCGGAAGCTGGCGAGCAAGAGCGCGGCCCTCAAGGAAGTGCAGGTCCTGAAGAAGCTGGTGCAGAGCCTGGAGGAGGAGCTGGCCAAGGAGCGGGCGAAGCACCAGCGGCTGGCCAGCAAGCGCCTGCAGGAGAACCGGCAGCTGGCCGGCGAGGTGGGCCTGGCGGACCCCCTTCCCGGCCCCGGGGTTGGCCAGGGACGCCGAATGCTGCAACCTGGCGGCCTTGTTGCAGCGCGATTCCCACTGCTCCTGCTTGCCCTGGGGAGGGGCAGGAGGCCGCCCACTCGAGCCATCCGAAGCGTGCTGCACTTTAACGCCTGTTGGCTTTAGCTGGTTCAGCTGATGGGAGTCGTAGTCCAACAGCTTATGGGGAACATCCCATCCCCGGTCACCCAGCAGTTTCTGCAGCCAGTTCTCCAGATCCCGTAAGGTCAGCAGTGCAGGAACATCCCCGTTGGAAGCCTGCCTTCTAGATCATATGGACTAGAAGCTTGCTTTCATTTTAAACACCCGGGAGCCAGGGTTCTCAGGACTCTCGCTCCTTTTCTCACGCATGCCACCTTTCTGCACGCTTTCTGTCCCCTGCCAAAGCTGAAACATACTCTCGGTGCAGGAAGGGTTTGCTGGGGCATAGGATTTGCATGGGGGGGGCAGAGTCAGTGGGCCATGCTGAAGGGCACGGCGGCAAGCCAGCCGTCCGCCAGCATCTGTTTTGAGCCCCTGCAAAATAGTGGCTCGTGTCTCTTGGAATGCCCGTCCTGCCCGGACTGGTGCAGCCTCGGCATCCTTCCCACGAATCGCACGGTAGCCAAGGAGCCCCTTCTGCTCCCTGCAGCTGGCAGAGCTGAAAGCGACTGAGAGGACCCTCCGGATCCGGCTGAAGAACCTGACCTCCGAGCTGGCTCTGTTCAAGAAAGGGTGAGTGCTGCCGGCCCGCGAGGCTGCTGGCCGCGGCCAGGCCCCTGTGCCCCGTGCTGGGCGACCCGAGGGGGACCTTCCTAGCCCAGCCGTTTCCTCCGCAGGTGCTTCACCCCCGTCGGGACGTCTCCGCAGAACCATTCCGCCGCCTCCCACGAGCTTCCCCACCCCACTCTGGCCCGAACCGGCCCCAGGAAGAGGGACAGCCACCGCCCCACCTCTGGGGAGCGCTCGAACTCGCGGGAGCGCAGCGGGGCCTGGGGGCCCAGCCGGCCACGGTCCACCTCGCGGGAGGGGTGCAGCGGGAGCCAGGGCCGCCTCCCCCGACAGTCCCCGTCTCCTACAGGTGAGGGGCGCACGGCCGGCCCTTGCTGCTCAGCAGCCGCGCTCGGTCTGACGGCCCCGGTGAGTCCCAGGGGGAGCCCCACCTCCCGCAGGCTGCGCCTGAAGCATTGGAGAAGCCGCTCTTGGTCGCCACTTGGCGAGTCCAGATCCTTGGCAGGGCGAGCCACGTGTTGGGGCCGGACAAAAGCACGTGGGCCACGCGTGTCCTGGTAGAGGCTTGGGGTCTGGGAGGAATGGTGAGTGGCTCCGGTCCCAGGCCCACAGCCAGCAAAATTCTCTGCCAGTTCATCTCTGGCTTTTGAAATACTGGGCGCTTTTCGCCAGGCTTCGTCCACCAATCAACCTTCTGCCCAGCCCTGCCCTGTCTTGCCCTGCCCTGAGAAGGACCCACAATCCCAGTTTCCGGCTTCGGATGAGGGGCCGGATTCTTGTCGATCCCAATGCGAAAAACCTTCAAGCCCCCCTGCGCCAGGCGACAGCATGAAGCCTGCACTGGGCCCTCAGGAGTCCTGCCTGCAGAGAACTGTGCCAAGGCGCCGTGGCAATTCCCTGCCCTCTTGCCCCTCCCCAGGTGCCCGGGCTCCGCGCTTCGACCCCACAGCGTTTGTCAAGGCCAAGGAGCGCAAGCAGAAGGAGGCCGAGCAGAGAAAGTATGTCCCCCCCCCCCGCCCATATCGGCTGCGGGTGCAGCCTGAGATCGGACAGCGGCGCTCACTCTCCTCTCTCCCTCCAGCAAGCGAGGCCTCCGACGGGGCGTGGGGGACACCCTGCCCAGCAGCTGGCAGCACCGGGCCCAGTCCAGGGGCCCCTCAGCCTTCGGGAAAGCGCAGGGCAGGAGCTCTTCAGGTGCGTCTTGCTGGGTCCCCTTTGTGTGCTGTGCAGCTTATTTTCATATTTATCGTGTAGTCTGTTCCACCAAGGATGAAAATACCAGGCCAGGGGGCCAAGTATGGCCCTCAGCACCGCCTGAACACGGCACAGCTGCTTGCGCCACATCTCTTTCACAGTTCTTGTGTCGTTTTTTCCGCGTTTGCAAAAGTTGCACTCTTGGCACCAAATGGAAAAGGGGGGCCCCAGAGGGCTCTTCCCTGCCCCCTCCCAGTTTTTGGAAAGTTAATTTTATACCCTGTCCGGGGCAGTTCCTGTCTGTCAGCCTACCTCAACCCCACCGCTCACATTGACTTGCGAAAGATGGCCCTGAGGGTTCGAGCTCCTTTCTAGACACACTTGCGAGCATTTGCCAACCCGCCTGTGAGATTCCATGTTCTCCCTGCTCTACATGCCTCCGAAGCTCCTCTCTCGGCCCTCCTGGCCTTCCCATCTTCCCCTTCTCCTGCTGCTGCTGGCCAGCATGACCTTCACCCAGAGCGGTGGTGGTGAACCGATGGCACAGGTGCCACAGCGGGCGCACGGAGCCCCTCTGCCACTGCGCGAGCCAAGTCGCCCCAGCTGCCGAGCGTCGGGTAACCGCACGGGGCCACGCGCATGCGCGGAAGGGAGTCGCGGCGCCAAGTGAAGAAGTCGTGTGCCGTGACTCGCCGGCCGTGACTCGTCCGAGCTTTCGCATGGCCAGTCAGTGCACTGCCAAGGATTTGCTTGGACTGGCTGTGAGTTGTTCTTTCTAAACTAAAACGTCAGTTTTCAGGCTTTATTGCAGTGTTGGCACTTCACAAAAAATAAGTCATTTCGGGTTGCAGTTTGGGCCCTCGGTCTCTAAAAGGTTCGCCCTCACTGACCTTGAACATCGGAATGTCTGGACATTCTGTAACTTTACAACCGTTTCGCCAAAAGCGGGCAGAGGTTCTCCTAGGCAGCAGTCCGATTTAGCGTATTATAGACCGTGATATCCGTAGCCTATTTTTCTGTGATCTGTTGGGCCTTCGTTGTGTATTCAAAGAGCCAGTTTATACAGGCGTGTTGGCCGCTCCGTGGCTGCAGGCTCCGTGGCCGCAGGTGTGGCCTCACCTCGCGCCCGTTCTTTCCCGCAGTGGAGAGCTTCCGTAGCAGGCGCTCATCTGCGAGCTCAGGGAGCGAGATGGACGACTTCTCCGAACCGGGTGCCTCAAGGTACAGGAGCAGGGCCAGAGGGAGAGGGGGGCCCAGTGAGCTCTGCTGTGGTTCCGAGCCCTCTTTCCGCGTGACATTCCCAGTTCTTCTGGAGGCAGAGGCAGGGGTGATGATGTGCATTTCTTCATCCCGCTGCACAAGGCAGCTTGCTTAGCTGCACCTGATCTGCACAACAGCCCTGTGAGGTAGGCTGGGCCGGAGGAGTGCCTGGCCAAGTGGGGTCTAGAGCCTGAGGCTCCTGGCCCCCCAGCCCAGCACTCGCCCCTGCGCCGTGCAGCCCCCCCCACCCGCCCGTCCTCACGTGTGGTTCTTCCCCAGGGGCAGGCGGCGAGGCGCGCGGGGCAGGAAACCCTTGAGCTCCTCTTCCTGGAACGGCCCCACGCTGGTAAGTGTCCACCGACGCCCTTGCTGGGTGGGACTCTGGGCTGCGTCCAGCGCCCTGTGGGCCTGAAGGGATGACGTGGCGGCTGTGGCTGCTCCCCGCAGGTTCCCAGGGCAAATGGCGGCCGCCGGAAGCACCTGGCCAGCACTCCCACAGCCGGCAAGCGAGTGGACAAAGGTAGGCCCCGTGGAGTCGGGGTAGGAGTCCCCCCGGTGACCTTCCCACGCTGGCATGGTGTAGCACCACTCCCATCATGCCCGGCCGGGCGCTGCTGTGTCTGAAGGGCCCAGGTGGGGGAAGGCGGCTGGGCAGAGAAGCACAGAGCGTGTCTCCATGCTGCGCAAAGAAAGACGGGGTGACCCAGGGTAAAATTGCCCGATGCCCCCCTTGAGCCCGCCTGGGCATCGCTGGCCCAGTGCAGAGATGCCCGGCTTCCTCAGGGGCCGTGTCCCGAACCAAACCCGGCCTTGGCCCGCTCCTCACCCCAGAAGCGGCTGCCTTCCCACAGGCCAGTAACCTGTCGCCTTGTCCAGCAGAGAATCTGTACGACGAACCGTCAGCCGACCTCTCCGAGATCGATGCTCGGCTCCAGGCACTGCAGGAGTACATGAATAAACTCGAGACGAGGACGTAGGCCCTGCTTTAGGGGCCGCTGGGGTGACGGCGTGACGCTGGGACGGGGCCGCTGCTCGACTGCGTCTTCCCGAGAACGGGCCCACACGTCCAGGCCTCTGCCCCCAGTGCGGGAGAGCTGGAGTATTCCAGGAGCGTGGGACCCCGAGTGTCTTCCTGCTCCGACGCGCAGCTGCAGGGGCTTGACGTGGGTGCCCCCTTGAAGGGAACAGGAGGCGGGAGGTGTCCCAAGAGCCATCCTCACTGCCTGGTGCTCTTGTCCTTGTGTAAATAAACCTGTTTTCTAACTTAACTCTCCGCCGGCTTTATGGCGCCCTGGCCCTGCAGCACTGCACTCTCTTCTGCAGGGAGCCCGGCTCAGCTGGGCCCGAGCACCTGGCCAGCCCCGCAGGCCAGAGAGGCAGCCAGTGGGTTGCTCTCGAGCGGCAGGCGGGGGCCTTCCTGCGACTCGACATAGCCATCGTGACTAGCAGCCACTTCCCCAGTCTCCTTTTAAGGTCCGTTAGAGCACAAGTCCACGCATGGTGAGGCAGGAGAAAGCCTGCACTGCTCAGCCTGTCCCAGCCAGCACTCCTGTTGGGTGATGCTGAACAGCATGGGATTTGGAGTGATTGAGATGTGCAAGGGCTCCTTGCCCGGAGTAGCTTTCCCGGACGGTGCCTTCTGGATGGGGTGGGCTCCAGCCCCAGCCAGCCTGGCCAGTGAGTGGAAATTAGACGGTTGTAGCTCCTCGCGGGCGAAGACAGATGGAAGCTGTCCGCCTGACCAGGTTGGCAACGTCTGGCTGTGGGAGGCCCTCCTCCCTCCGAAGGAACAGATCCCATTTTCCAGAGCTGGTGTTGCTGGCGCCTCGCAAGGGAAACGATGCCCTCGCACCGAGCATCGCCGTTCTGCCCCAGGTGAATGGCATTCCTGCAGAAGCCACCCCCAACTTGCTCCCGGCTTACCTGCCTGCAGATCTGGGGTTAAATTCTTCCGCAAAGTGCTGAGCACCGCGTCTTGGCAGAATGAAAAATGCCAAGCGATTACCGTGCTCAATTGCGATGCGGATCTTCGGGGGCATTCCGGCAGCGGCAGCATCATTATTTTAAAAAGAACTTGGCAGGAGATTCCTTGCAAATTGTATTTTGAGATGCGTAATCGGCTTGGAAGGAATTACTTGCAAGCACAGGCAGATTGGACATCTTCCAGTAGGCAGAACCAGCTTAAATGTTGTGTTATCGAGGGCAGGGGGGGGGGCAGAACCCCGACCTCAGTGTTCCCCGGACGGTCACACCCTCTGCCCTGCTGCTGCTCAACAAGTCTTTGCGTTCACCCTGGCAGCTTCTAAAAGTGGGCTTTTAAATCATGTACTGTGCTTTTAATGCTCTGCTCCTGTCACCTGTATGTTAGATTTTACTGTTTTTTGGTGCTGTCGTCAATGGACCCCGGTACATTCTGCTGTTGGGTGGTATAGAAACAGAACTAATAAAAATAGGAAACCTTGTTGTAAGTAACGTAGGCCTTGTTTGCTATTTGATGAGCCAAAGGGACGAGAGGATGGGAAAAATAAATGCCTGCAGTCGTCGTGGGACTTTTTGTGGTCCTGAAATGAGGCTCTTTCCAGCCTGCCTTATAAAGACGTCCTCTGTGGACGGTGATGGGCTGCAGCGACTTGCCCGGGGGTGGGGGGAGCTGTCCCCGGTGCTGAAAGGCCCACTTGGGGCCCTCCCTGCGGAGCCCCCCCACCAAGAAAAAAGAGCTTTGTCCCACCTTGTTCTCACAAAAGGTGGGCTTTCTTCTACCTGCAAGATGTTGTCCTTAACTTTCATCCCGTCCAAACACCACAGCACTCCCATCATCCCCGGTGTGCCATACAGACTGCACCCTCTGGCCCAAACACCTATCAGGTATGTCATACCTATGTCTGTCTATAAACTCAAGTTTGTTTGTTTAACGTGACTCCTGAGATGAAGTAAAAGTCAGTACTTTTTTTAAAAAACACTGCAAAGTGTGTGTTGATCATCTCACACAGAGAAGCTGCGTGGGAAGGACTCTTGGCAACACATTTCGAGAAAGGTAAGCAGCCCCTGGGGAAGGCGAGTCCTTTCTAAAATGCGTCGGGCATAACAACATTTTTCCCCGATAAGGACTTGAGAATATTTTTCTCCTGTTTTGGGACACACAGCTGCTTTCTCTTGAGGTTCTCTGGGCCATTGTTCCCAGCATCCCCAGCCACACACACTGACCGTGTTCCAGAAAGGTCCAGGAATGAGCAACAGGAACACAAAGCAACTCTTGCCAAATTTGTTACGAAGGTACGTCTTGCCCAAATGGCCCCTTTTGTAAAGTTATCAACAGGTGCAAGCGCAGGCCGCAGCCTGGCCTTTGGGCATTCTAGTCCAACGCATCTGGAGCACGCCAGCGTGGGGAAGGCTGGTCCGTTGCTGCTTTTATGCTTGCCCTGAAGGTTCACAACACCGTGATAGTGATGCCAGTTGCCCATACGTATTTGAGAAAGTGGGGTTTTTTTTAAATCATATTTTGGAGAAAGGGAAGAAACAAGAAAGCTCCTAGCATTAAATAGCTCCTTCCTCGTGAAGGGGTGCTCAGAGGTGAGAGAGAAAAGTGAGAGGGCTTCTCCCAGCCGGTTGGATCGCTGTAAAATAGCCAGGTCTGGAAAGTGTGAGCATGGAGGCCCTCTGGTTATTATTCTGAAATGCAGACTAGAGCAAGATGGAGCTCAGTGACAGCTGAAGATTTAAACAGAGGAGGCAAAGAGGAATGCTTTAAAAAGGAAGGTTTTGGAAGCGTGGGGCTCGGAAGCCTGCGATAGGCAGACAGTTATGCAAACAGGCACGAGCCGACGAACGTGACGTTCAAGGATGACCTTTCTGCTTGGCAGAAAAATGGCAGTGCCTTGTTCCTGTGAGCACGGCTAAATTCTGCAAGCAGAATGTATGGCTTTGTTTTGCAGCTATTATTCCACTTCATTCCTATCAAAGCTCTATAAAACACACAGGAGGCAAAATGCCGCTGGGCATCTCTGCTCACTGTCTCTCTTCCCAAACTCTTCACGTTCCTGCCTCTCTGGTGGCCTCTGACTGCTAGCTGGGGATGATAGGGACTGTAATCCAATGTAGACAAGACCCAGGGCAGGATTAGCTGCTCAAAAAGGGCCAGAGACCAGAGCTATGGCAGCACCTGAAGGAATCTGCCCTATTGCAAAATTATCAGTATTAATCCGGACATGAAAACTCTTTTTCCCAAAGGAATTTTCCTTAGCTGGGGACAGGCAAGGAGCTGCCCATCCTTGCAGTAAACAAAAAAACTCTTACCCAAAACTCCCTGGGAGACCCACTGCCTACATAATCAGGGCTTCCTTCCTACAGAGAATGGCACTTTCATCCCTGCAGGAGAGGGGTCACTTCTGGGCCCTGAGGCAGGTGTGGGGAGGGGGGGAATGGGTGCATGGAGGTCTCCGACTCTTCACTTCCCCCCAAACCTGGAAGCCCAGCAGCTACTATGGCAAGAACAGGGCACCAGCCTTCTTATGAGATCAGTAGGCAGGTGCTGCCCCCCTGTGGGAAAAAAGCAGGTTGCACTTTTTTTAACTGTTGCATTGTCAAGGTTTTATTGAAATATTTGCTCATTAAGCCTTCAGGTCGGGGAGGGGTCCATAATGCAGGAGAAACTGCATCAGAGCTTGAAGTGGAAAAAAGAATTTGACCACTTCACATAGGGAGAGGAAAACATTCCTAAAATTTGGAGGGAGGGAGCAATAATTTTCCAGTAGAAGAAAGTGAATGCAGCTGGACTCTCTCCCCTTGATATGTTCGTCATTGATATGCAAGTAAAAACTTGCAGGATTGGTCCACTTAAATAACAAAGCATTATAATGGGACCCATTCAGACCTGGCTGAGGAAGCGTGGGTGCTTCCTGGGTCCCAGTTTTCGCCAGGCCCAGCCGGACAAGCAATACGTGGCCGGCGAGAGACACGTCCGTGGGCCTCGCCCCCGAGAGCGTTCTCCACGCAGGCGTCCTCCCGGCCTGCGGACCTGGCCATAAATACGAAGAGAGACCCGTTCAGCAGGGTCCACAATGGGGTGGAGGAGGGGGCTGAGGGGACCCCCACGCCGATCAAAGCGGCTGCAACAAGAGGCTCAGGTGAGTGGGTCCTGGGGAATGCTTGGGCGAAGCCGCATTTCCAATGGCTCTCGGAAACAGGCGGCCGTTCGCCTGCGCTTGGTCTCCCACGCGGCTCGAGGCCACGATGTCCTTAACACACTTCATGGAGTGGGTGTTGGGGCCCGGCCAACCAGGGAGGGTCCCACATGTCCACTATGAGCCCCCCTCCCCCTGAAGAGGCCAATGAGGAGTGAAAGTGGCTTGGCCCCCCCCCCCCCCCAGAAAAGCCCTTAGAGAGGAAGGAAGGCCCTGATAAGCTTCCCTGCCCTGCTTACTTTGCATCCCTTTGGACGGACGGAGGGACGGACGGACAGAGGGATGGACGGAGGGACGGAGGGACGGAGGGACGGACTCGCTGTGGTCCGCCCTGGCAGCTGCTCACGATTCCCAGTTCTAACACTTGGACGAAACCGCACGGCTCGGTGGTGGCGGGGGCCGCCGCATTTCCCGCGGCTCCCAGGCCAACGCCTCCGCCGGGGCCCCGAGCTGCGTCTGGGGCAGGCGGCCGCCCCGTTCTTGCAGGACGGACGCCTGTCGTGGGGGCCCCCCCGCTACAGCCACAGGTACTCCGCCAGGAAGGCAGCCAGGATCCTGCAGAGGTTCTCCACCGTGGGCGGGTGCAGGTTCTCCTCGGTGTCCCTCATCGTGTGCCAGACCTCGGGGAAGGGCGTGGCGATGAGGTGCAGGATGGGCACACCTGGCACGGAGGCAAGGCGGCCGCCGTCAGCCCAGGCGGTCTGTGCCAAGCGTGCCGGCCAGCCGGACAGCCCGCTGGACGAGAGGCGCCCCAGGGCTCGCCCGAGGCGCCCCCACGGGGCAGGGGCGCATAGTTCCAGCCCTACCAGGGTGCTGCGATGCAGGGGCAGAGTGGGGAGCGGGTACCTTTCCGGAGGAATGGCACATGGTCGTCTTCCACGTGGCTGTAGAAGGAATCCCTCTGGAAATACAGCTGCTCCTGGGGGTGGGACTGCAGGAGGCCCAGCCGGTGCAGCCGCTTCTCTGCAAGGTGCAAACCGGGGATTTGGGGCCCAGGCGAGAATCGGCATCGCTGCCTCTGCACCGACCTAGGAGCCGAGGCAGGCTCACGCCCGGCAGGAGGTCTCGCTCAGGGACTGGGGACCTGGCAGCACCCCCAGGTTCCGAATGAGGGCGCTGCTCTCCCTACCCACAGCCCCTGCCAAATGGGGATGATGGGAGTCTTCATCCAAGCACAGCAGGAGGGTGCTGGGTTTGGGGGCCTGGCTGGCCTGGGCTCTCCAGGGAGGGGTGTCTTTGTCACATCAGCGGGGGACCTGGTGCTTACCGATGCCAAGAAGTCTTTGGAACCAGTTGGCCGTCTCGGGGAAATGGTTCTGGAACATGGGCTGCCGGGCTCCCAGAAGATCCAGCAGAACAAACAGGGACTGCAAAGAGGAACCAGGGTTAAAAACCGCACCGGCCTAGTGGCTTGAGGTCTCTGGGGCACCGCCTTATCCACCCCTCCTGTATTTCTCCCTTTCCCTAAAATTAATGGGATTCTACAGACTGGGTCTACAGCTTCAGGCAAGCTCATGTCTTGCCTGTGCCACTTAAGAGCTCACGGGACTGAATGCTCCTCTGCAAGTGAAATAAAGTCGCCAGACACAGACAGCTAGCACGGCGGGGAGGAGGCAGCATTGCCTGACATGCAAGTTGTCTCTGTGCAGGAATTACGGACCGGGGAGGGTGGACCAAGTGTTCCAGCATCCGGGTTCCTCCGAACAGCCGGAAAGCCATGCAGCACAGTGCAAGCTCACCAAGAGCCAGGCTGCTTGGTGTCGGAGTCCCACGTTCAGGGCTCCACTCAGCCGCAAGGCAAACCCCACGATGCTGCAGCGATTCGCAGCCTAGCCTGCCTCGGAGGATGGCCGTGGAGGAACCAGTGCGGGCTGACGCAGCTCAAGGCTAGAATTCAGCCTTATCGCAGCAAAACGCACTGGCCCGGGGCGAGCCGTGTTTTTAAGAAGCCAAGGATTTGGGGAGGGCAGCAAAATATCGGGAAACTGGAAGGCACGGGAGGCAAGCGCCAAAGAACATGTTCGGAATACAGCCTGCTCCTTATCCAAGCCGGTCCAGTGTTTTCCAGGCCGCTGCCCCAGCGGAGCACTCACGATCGCCTGGAGCTCGGTGAGGCCTGAGCGGTGCAGGGACGTGGCCAAGCGCTCGGCCAAGTGCCGCGACCCGTAGAGAGAGTCCGTCGCACTCCAGTCCTTGAACGCTTCTTCCCCGTCGAAGAACAGCAGCTGCAGTGTCACCTGCGAACCCTGAGCCAAAAAATCAAGAAATAAGTTCAAGAATTAAAATAACGTTTAGATAAAAAATGGTCAGATCCCCATTGCTTGCCCGGCCCAGAAAGAAAGCCAATGTGGCACAGAGGTTGGAGCACCCAAGCAGGACTTGGGAGATCCCGCAGCTCAGTCACTAACTGGCAGCCGATCCTACCTCACAGGGCTGTTGTGAGGATACAACGGAGAAGAGGCAGAGGGTCGTCTAACCCACTTTGGGTTCCTTGCAGGGAAAAAATGCAGGAAGTAAAATAAATCAGTAAAAGGCCATCATGACATGAAGAATGTGGGATTATTATTTTAAACAGCCACTCCGAGTCATAAAATGGGAAACGAACAGAACCTTTTTCAGAAAAGCAAGCCACTAAGCAAAGTACGTCTTTGACTGACCTGCAGGTCTAGCCTCTTGTTCTCCAATATGCTTTTTTTTATAGCCAGACTGATCCAGTGGTTCTGCCTCAGTCTCTCTTCAGAGTTAAAAAGCCCAAGATGTTTGAACCCAAGGGCAGTCATGCTCACGGCCCCCAAGATGCTTTGGACTACAACTCCTAGCAGCCCCACCAACATGGCCAGTGTGGGTATAGTAGCCTGAAACCTCCCTCTTCTAGCCTCCCTTGAAGAGGTAAACATTCTATTAGTACACATGTTAAGAAAAGTGTGACGGCCGGGGCTGACAGAGCACCATCTGGCTCAGGGCGGCATGAGCTCCAGGCCCAGATAAAACTGTTTTCTCCACCTGCCAGCATCCCATGGCTCCTTTTGAGAGCTCAAAATGGATTCCAGCCTAGAAGCCCCACCCTGCCAGCTCTAACCATTAGCCCTAACTCCCCTCGTTCCTCACAAGAACCCGGCCTTCCCGAAGCACCGCTGCCGGTCCGGGATACCTGCTCCTTGGCCTCCAGCAGCTCCCTGTCCAGCGCCGTCACCAGCTCCAGCAGCATCGCGCAGGGCACAGCCGAGTCCGAGGCGCCCACGAAGGCCTGGCCGTGCCTGTCGTGGGGAAAGTACTTGGAGTCGTAGTGGCAGGCAAGCACCAGGCGCCAGGTGGCCGCAGGGTCCAGCGTGGCCACCACGTTGGCGAAGTCTACAGGCCCGTGCGGGGCCTGAGCCTTGAAAGAGTCCAGCTCTACATGCCAGGAAGCCGCAAGTGAATGCATCCTCTCTGTGATGAACTAGGAGGAAAGAAGGGTGCAGCATAAAGAACTGCGGCTCACACAGGGTTCTAGTCCTCATTGACATTCTGCAAGACCTTTGTAAAAACCCTCAGCCTCTATTCAACAAAACCGGGCAACTTTTCCTTTTCTACTGAGGAATTACAGTCACTTGAGTGAGTCACTCACGCTTAGATGTGCAAACAGAAAAAACGCCACTTCAAATCCCAGAACAAACAAACAAAAAAACCCACACTTTCTAGTTGTTGGGTTTTGGTGTTAAGTGTTCTGTTCTGATCCGCTCCTGCTTTTTATGCTTCACAGCCTGCTTTTTGGCTCTTCCTATCACTGCAGACGGCTGCTGAACTTTTCAGTGAAGTCTGGACAAGGGGGAAAAGTGTAACCCCAAATTTCAGAGTGGGGGAAAGGGGGGTTGCCAAGGTGCAATCCAGGTGCGATGGCGAGAATGCCGAACTGGGGACCTGGGAGATCCGGGTCTGGTCCCCACTTGCCTTGGGTGGCAGTGGGCCAGTCAGGAGATGCAGCCTTGCGGGGGTTTTGATGTGAGGATAATGTGGAGCAATGCAAACTACCTTGTTATTTGTTTTTTGGTGCCAGGCCAAGACCTTTTCATTCAAACAATATTTTAACAATGTTTAATATTTATAGGTTTTAATTGTGCAGCCAGGGTGTTTCCAGGTTTTAATTGTAATTGTTATTTGTATTGTATTGTATTTATTTCTGTGAGCCGTCCCGAGGCGATATAGCAAGGGGACGGCATATAAAAACTTTAAATAAATAAATAAATAAATACCTTGCGGTCCTCAAAAGAGGAAAAGCAGGGCTATAAATGCAGTGAAGTATTAATATTAAAACCTCACAGCCTGAGATAGCCCGTGAGTTGCGGCCTTTTTACTCCGTCAACTCGCCGAGGAATTTGCTCAAGGAGAGGCAGACCTCCAGTGCGAAGCTCAGCCAACTCACCTGCCGGACCCTCTGGTTCCCAGGACTGCCAGGGTACCGCTCAATCAGCATGGGCTGCAGGGAAGTATTCCAGAGGCGCTTGAGATCCACCAGGGCAGCCAGGCGCTTCAGCTGGCTATTAGAAAGGCTTCGGGGCTTGTGCTTCAGCTGCCAGGAAGAGAGATGTTTACACAAGATTACTAGAAGGGCAACTCGCCAGGGACAGAGCCCTGATAAGTCAGCAAACACCGACGACTAAAATATAACCAAGACAATCCCAAACCATTTCTTTAAACAGCTAAAAGCAGGACCTTGGAGAAAGATGTTTCCATAGCAGCATGTGAAAGAGCAACTTCTTGCAAGAATGTCGGAGGTGCAGCACCAGGACAGCATGACCAGAAAGCAACCCGAGGCGAGCGGATTTCAATGGTCCACAAGCGCATCGCCTCCTGCTGCCCCCGCCTCGGATCTTTCTGCTTGAGGCTCCTTTCCCGAAATCAACCGCTCAGCTCTGGCCCCGTCCATCCCTCACTTTCGCCGAATAGCCGCGTCCTTGGGGGACAAAATCCCTTACAGACGACCGCACTTTAGAGGGCAGGTCACTGGGAACGCGCAGAGTCTGTGCGGTCGGTGCTTTGCCCCCGATCAGGAGGTCGATTCTTGCCTTGGGTGCTTCCGTGCCGGGCACTGGCCCGCCAGCCAGTCGCCCTCCGCCGAGCCTGCCCCGCAGGTCTGTCGTGCAGGGAGCACGGGAGGGGCTGCAACTTTTTTTTGGGGGGGGGAGTACCTGGTAGGAAAGCAGCGCCATGTCGCCCCCCGCCCCCCGCCCCCCGCCGCCGCTCCGTGGCGCTTCCGCGGCTCCCCCCGGCGCGGTGCGCCCGGACCTACCTGCGCGCCCGGCAGGGCCTCCTGCCGCGGGCCCCCCCAGCCGCCCGGGGGGGGCGCG